AGACCCCTTAAGTAAACAGACCCCTGAGATTGAGGACAGAGTCCTCAATCTCTTTTCTGCATCCCCCGTTATAAATGAACAGGAATCCTCCATACCCTTGGTTCTCAACTGGTGGGTCGTGACCCAAAAGTGGGTCGCGACCTTGTGTTCAGTGAGTCGCCGCATGCCATCCACTTTTCTAGGTGAGAGGCTTCTCAGCCTCCCCCTAGCGTAGCACTGTCAGTTCTTGCGCCAAGCAGCCATTCGAAATATGCTGCCCAGCGCCGAGTGTTAGCTTGAGGTGAGGTGGGCTGGAGCTGTAGCCACGAGGTAGCTCCATTCATACATTGCTTACAGCTCCCTCGTGTCCTATAGGAGGTGCCTGGACCGGAGTGACGTCACATTCTGGTTCCCGACACCTCTACAGGGTGCGCAAGGAAGCTGTACAAGCAATGCACATATGGATGGAGCTCCATCACAGCACAGCAGCCCACACTGGACCCCAGGCTGAGGATCCACTCTAGTTCTCGTAAGGTAGGGAGACTGAGCGGATCTTAAAATAAAAAAAAAGTTGGCCGTGTGTACAGTATATGTGTGAGATTGTCTCTGTCAGTGTGTTTGAGGGCCCATTCACACTAGTACAGTGCGTTAATCGAACAGTCCTGTGCCATTAATGCACTGTACAACGCAATTGCACCTACTACACATTCTGGTGCAGAAAGTGCGTTGCCATTCATTTGAATGACACCCCAAACGCACCTCCCGCCCACAGTTCAATCGCCTGCACCGGAATGCGTGATACCACAATACCGTGCATTTCAGTGCGGTGCATCTTGGGTCGCAACTGACAAAGGACAGATTGGGTTCTTCGGTTACACAGGTTGAGAACGCGCAGTACCGCAATGCCGTTCGTTCCATTGGAGTGCGACTTGGGTCACGACTTAACAACCAAGGACAAATGTGGGTCCTGAGGTTACACAGGTTGAGAACCACTGCTCTATACCTAGTGTTCCTGTTCATTCATAGCTTGAGGACAGAGTGTGTTTACTATAACCACAATCATGAATGAACAGGAGGTGATGTAGATCACTCCCATTCATTCATAATTGAGGATATAGTAACCATACTCTGTCCCTAATTATTTACAAACACTCAGCGATCGCACTCGCTCTCCATCCTGACAGGAGGCTGAGGGAGCGGAGCGGGAGGAGAGCTCCGCCTGCTGTGACAGAAATGGCTGTCTCTGCTCACACTGCTCTCCTCTGATCTGTGACAGGAGGCTGAGCGGTGCGGGGAGGAGAGACGCTGGCCGCTCACAGCGCTCTCTTCCCGCAGCGTTCGGCCTCCTGTGACAGTTTCTCTCCTCCCCGCTGGGACACAGAGCAGCGCCCAGCAGGGAGGAGAGAAAGAACGGCTGCACTGCTTTATCGGCCAGAAAATTGCACTTCCGGCATTGTGCCAAAAGTGCCTTTTCGGCGCATCCCTAGATCTAATGTCTGTGGGACATTTGCAGACACTATCACCAGAGGTTTGTCCTCCGGTGTCTATGGTCAGCTTAAGAGTTAGATTTCTTCATCTTCATTTAAATTTCTGCTTCAAACTTTGTATGAAGAAGCAATTTTATTGTCTAGCTTGTTTTTTTATAGGCGTTATATCGCACACAGTGACTTTGCAAAGAGAGATATATATATATATCTTCCAGTATACAAATCAATAGAGAATTGACCAAAGCAGCTAAACGGATATTATTATTATACAGGATTTATATAGCGCCAATAGTTTGCACAGTGCTTTACAATATAAGGAAGACATTACAGTCACAATACAATTTAACCCCTTCAATGGTAAGGAAGGCCCTGCCCTGTCTGCATCCCTAATAAAGTAAAGAACCCTTAAAAGGAGAACTAAGAGGTGAGTGATTTTCACTTTTCACAGTTTTGGGTGGAATCATCTTTTTAGAGGTTGAAGCATACGGTTTATTTTATTACCTCTGAAATGGCCAATGTGTCTCCCTCTCACAGTCCCTGGACCTGAAAGTGCTTTATGGGACTGTTCATGTATACAGTTAGATGTCTCCATTGCAGGACCACAGTACTACAGACGTTTGGGCAAACAAACTCTGTCTCAGCAATATTACTAATCCTGTTTGGTTGCCGCTTATTGAATTCATAATGTGGCATCGGCAAATACTGCAGAAAGACATTTATAAAGCAGCTCACTGCGCACTCCCTCCGTACAATGCATGAACACTGCTACCGCATCCCTGACCAATAGGAAGGCTCAGGGGAGGGACGAAAGAATAAAAATGTAATATACTGCAGTTTACTAGTCCTTGGATGTGGTGGCTGCATTTGTTTTCTATTTTCCAGATCTCGTGACCTTTATTATCACCTAATGACCCTGCTAGTAGCACACTTCCTGTCTCAGAGTGACAACACTTAGGGCCCGTTCACACCAGAGGCGTTGGGGCTGTGCTGGCCACTTCTCCCAGTGCAGCTCCAATGCAAAGACAAGGCAATATGCCTTGTTTTAAATAGGCACATTGCACACCACCATATTACCGTAGTGTCCACTGGAGAGGGGGAAAAAAAAAAAAAGTACTGCATGTGTTATTTTTGCTAAGTGTGGTGCAATGCGGCATAACCACAACGTTCATAAGCAGATCTTTATCTGACCTGTGTCCTTGAACCCCATGTCATTTCTTATCATTCTGCTCTCTACATTATGTTAACAGGAGAAGATGTCACGCAGTTTGGCACTCACCCCTGCTGCACCAAGTGGCACCCTTCAATATGCATCCCATTCAATCAACAGGCACACTTTACCTACCAAGATCTGAACTGTGAATTCCTCTCTATCAAATCCATGATTCCAGCATTTACAGATTTGGCCGGGAATTTTGGGACCAGCTCCATTGACAAATGTCATTGAAAAAAATAAAAGGATTTGTTGAAGAGAAGTGCCAGTAGGGTCACTGCCCAAGTCAGCAGGTATTTTAACCCCTTCGTGACTGACGACGTACAGTGTACGTCGCCAGCATCGGGGCTGTTTAAACAGACTCCCGGCGACTTTTGCCGCCGGGAGTCTGTTTAAACTTGTAGAGCCGACTGTCGGCTTTACAACAGAAGCGATCCTGGCGACTTACCTGTCGCCAGATCGCTTCTGCGTCCCGAAGAAGGGGCCGCCCCCCACTCAGTCATGAAGGGGTTAAAGCACGCCTTGGGTACACTGCACCCTATGTACACATTGCCTGGAAAGTTTAATTTGAAGTAGATTTAATATCGAAGGTTCCATTTAGGTCTCTTCATTACTCTAAAGTTCATATTTTCTGTATGTTACCGCAACGCACACACAGTATATGTGCAGCAAGGTGCGCTGCCATTCCATTTAAATGCAGATATCCAACACCCCCCTACTGAGTCAGACCTAGAACTGCAATCAGCAAAGCTCATTCTGCCTGCTGATTGGAGGGCTCTGGCTCAGCATGGAGTGTGTCAAACCTCTGCAGAAATTTAAAGGCATAGTTCACCTTTTGGAAAAACAAAGTTAATACATGTACAATAATATAATAATGTGCATTTATTCGTTTTTTGCATTGAAGCTGTAATGAGGGTGTCACAGGTGCACTGCACAGGCTCACGCATTTGTTACCCCCAGTACCACCTAACTAAACCACCAAATCCATTTGTAACCAATCAGTGCCCTACATGGGTAGATCTAAAGGAGATCATACAATCAGATTGTAACGTGTGTGAGCTTTAACCTGAAAGTTCAGCTGTCCTTTAAAAAGCTGGTTTTTGCTATGATACTGACAGATCAGGGATCTTGTATAATACATCCCCATCTGAGCATGGGGCAGCTGTAGACATGGAGGGTGTGGGGACCCCCAGCCATCATCTCCATGGGGAATTTATACTTCCTCAACAGCTGTTCAGTTATCAGATTCCCCTCATCCTTCAAGAAGTCCCATAGATCCCTATATATATGTATGAGATGGTCCCCAGGACCCGGGATGACATGTGACCCGGCGCACAGCACCAGTAAACTGTACGTTCCAGACAATTCCACCCCGCGGGCGCCTTCCGATCGGCACACACAACCTACACTACAGGACAGCGTGGCCTAAATATCACACAACCACAGTCACGAGGTCACATACCACAGCCGCTTCCCGGTACATTTGCAACTTCCCTATTCGATAACGTCTTCCGGTCAATGACGTTTAAATGCTGCTCCATCCGCAGCGCTTCACCCACATAGCACACAACAAGGCGCGGGGTGGACCCCTAGTGGCGAGCACACGGCCAGCGAATGGATGAGGCTGTGATGACGTCAGCAGAAGCTCGAGTCACTTTCCGTTTGACAGAGTTCAAATCAAGCCGGAAATGCGGTTTGTACAGTGTCCTCGTTTGGTTCAAAGTAGGGCTATGGCGTCGGCCATTTTGTCGTAGATTAATTCAAATGTCTGAATATTAACAATTCAGGAGTCCTGAATAAAGTGCCTAATAAACGTGAACTCCACAACCTGAAACCAGATTCCCAGCACGTTGACATGCATTTAAAGTAGCATTAAAGTCTCAATCTTTTTTTTATAAGTACTGAATTCAGATCAAATATATATTGCCCAGCAATGTATTTCTGTACATTGTTGTCCAAACACGGTCATCATGTTCTCAAACTGCTCCAAGTCTCTCAGCTCAGCTTCACTGAACTTCCTGTTCAGTACTAGATCGCAAGGGACAGCAACATCTACTAGCTTGGAGGAGGAAGGAGCAGGGGAGTGTCTTGTCCTGCTGTGCCTGTATGTTTGTGGAGACACATGCAGCTTACTAGTACACGAGGGTGACTTCATAGGAACCTGCAAGGGAAAGGAGACACCCTAGACCAGGATATCAGGGCCAGTGCTGGGGGGGGGGGGGGTCAGCTGATTCTGCCGGAAACTAAAACTTTTCAACATCAAGGAGCAGCATCCATTGTAAGTGATTTCATCAGCATTTCAAATAGTTTAAAAACCTTTTGATTTTAATATCACTTTAACTTATGCTGATGTGCATTTTTTTTCCACAGCAGACATCAAAATACTTTATTGTTCTTTTCCATAACAAGCATTGTAGTGCGCTGTGACACGTAGTGCTTTACAGCACATTTTGCCGCATTTGAATGCAGCATGTTCCACTTTCTCCAAGCGCACATCGACAGCGCATTAGAACTGGGACCTTGGATTTCATAGCTTTGGGCCTGCCTGAAATGTAGCCAAGCATAAGTTGCGTGAACGGGCAATTCACATCACATGGGTTGGACTGCATTACTTACCATAGGCCCGATGCAATGATAAGGCGAAATCTATTGGTTTTTTTTTAATGCGTGTTACATGCTACGGAAGTGGTGTGAAGGCAGCCCTACTGTTTGCTGAAAGAGTGTAGATAAAACAGAAGTGTGAAATCTTTCCTACAAAAGCAGTAAATACATTTATGACACCCTTTATACAGTTCCAAGTGATCACAAACTATTGGTATTAAAGACACTCTGTGGCAAGACCATTCATTTCAACCAAAACCTTACCATAAAATTATTTGTACATTTAACCTATTGTATGCCTGAAATCTAACAGTAAAAGCCTTCCTTGTGTGGGACGTAGAGAGCAGGCGGTCTTGGGAGGAGCGGAGAGGATGGTTAGGATGATATTTTGAAATTATGTTAGCAATATAGCCATGCACAGAGTTGTAGATTGCGTTGTATGTTGTTGTAAGTATTTTAAATGTTATACTTTGGGCTACTGGAAGCATGTAAAGGGATTTGCACAGAGGGGCGGCATTTTTCTAAGTTAGTTACAGGGCACCTTTAGAGGTCAATCCTAAACAAAACTGGTTTCAGTAAAAGTCTATGGCGTATACACTCTCAGCCTCACCCTGTGTAGAGATTTTCAAGCTCACAGGAAAACAATCTAAGTCTGGGTTCACACCATGGCGTATTGAATATGCGCGTCAGTCGCGCGACCGTCACAAGGTTTTTTTACCGCGATTCGCGGTAAAAAAGAAGGCTACTTGGCTGTATCCCAATGGAAAACGCCCTACAAAACGGCCCAAAGTAGTACCTGGACCTTTTCAGGCGTGGGACGTTTTGTAGGGCGTTAGGGACGGGCGGAAATACGGCAAGGTGGGAACTAGACCATAGACTACAATGCAATGTATATTTTTGACCGTTTTGTAGAGCGTTCGTCGAGCGTAGAACGCGCTAAAAAACGGTCAGGTGTGAACGAGGGCTAAGCACCAGAAGACAAAGAGGGACCGCCACAGGAGCAGTCAACTGGGCAGTTAACTCTTTGCACACATAGTAACCGCCACCATGTATTCTAATGCAAACGTGCACTGGTCAGAGCATCCGCTGTTGAAATTCTGTCCATTAGATCATTTCTGTATCATTCGCTGCCACACTCAGACAGCAACAGAGTTTACACAGTGGTAGCTTCTTTACAATGGTAGCTCCTTGATTTCTAGTTAGAGCATTCAGCGACTCAGCTTACAAATTCTGAATATCATTTAATGAAAAGAAAAGAAAACTGGTTCAAGAAAACATTTCAGAAAAGATATTAAAAAAAAAGACATAAGCAACAGTAAAAAACTAAAAATGAAAGGGTTTAAAAGTGAAGAAATACATAAGTACAGTCCACCGGGTGTTTGATACAGAGCAGAGTCCGCAAGACTTGAAGATTAATTCCAGTCTAATGTTGCTGGCTCATAAATTACTCTTAGTATTCCTTAATAGTTCTGATAACAAAACAAGAGCTGCTCGCTGCTAGTGGAGCTACCTTTTATTGTCCCCAAAACAGGGTTGTATAGAGCTGTCACACCCAATCAAAAGGTTTGCGGTGTGTGTTGTAAGTGTGCTGGAGTGTTTCGTTTTTTTATTGTCAAGTGGATACACCCTTAATGCCAAATTGTCACATCTATACTTCCATATGACAAGGTTTCACAATCTGAAAACCAACCTATTGTTTAGCAGAATAAAATTATAATTCGTTAGATATCAAATATGACAGATTTATGATATGTCTTACTCAGGGATGTTCAGATACCAGTGCCAAAACTTGGCATTTTCACGAGAACTACCAGGGTTGCAGCGGTTGCAGCTGGGACCTGGCTCTGACACTCAAGGGTTTATATAGCGCCAACAGTTTGCGCAGTGGTTTACAATATAAGGAAGACATTACAATCGCAATACAATTCAAGACAAGATGGTAAGGAGATATAGATATATATATTTTAGTGCAGGGCTCAAAATTTCAGGTCCTGACCTACTAGCCAGGCCTTCAAAGTTACTCGCCACCAGTTGCCCTGCATAACACAAACAAACACATTCCCTTGCACCTCGGGTCCTTGAAGTCTCTGGAGACAGAGATTTGGTGGACACCGAGTGGCACGGGTGCCAGGGGTGCGGAGCACCGTGCAAGCCTTAGTCCGAGATCCGAGCCGAGGTCAAGTCCACTCTGGCATCGAAGTACACAAGGGTTAATCAGAAGAATGGTCAAGATCCAAGCTGTGGTCGGTTCCAATCTGGCAGCTGAGTACAAAAGGGGCAAAGAAGTAGAATGGTCAAGGTACAAATCCGAGGTCAATGGCAGGCAGCAACCAAGAGTAGTCAAATAGGTTTCCAGGTCACAACAAGTTCAGACAGATCACACACTAGCCCAGGAAAAAGGGGGGACTGAAGATAATCCAGCAATTTGGCAGTGTCTGGGCTGGGCTTATATAGGGAAGTGATGATTGAAGTTTGAGGTCATTTCCTGTGCGCCTCCTGGGCATTTTACCGCCTTTTTCCATCAGGTTGAGGTCACTTCCTGTGCGCCTCCTGGGCATTTTCCTGCCTTTTTACATCAGGTCTTCTGCGCATGCGCGCACTGACGCGTCTTTGGCGCATGCGCAGATTTCCTCTTGCGGCAACGCGCCATTGGCGCATGCGTAATAAGCCCTGGACTCTTACAGCCACGCACAGAGCCGCTGTCATCCTGAAACTGACAGGATGACAGCTGCTCCGATCTCCTCACCGCTCGGCCGTCCTGACAGCAGGCAGCGCTCCCTCCTGTGACCCCCCCCCCCATTTTAGTACTTAGTAGCTCTTTTTCACTTTTTTTTGCATCATCGCTGGTGCAGATCTTTTTTGTCAATATACAAACAAAGTATGGATTGTAAACCCGAAGTAAAAAAAAAAAGAAAAATGTGTAGCCTTCCCTCCATAAAAATGCATTCCAGACCCTTTGGGTCTAGTATGAATTTGCAGGGAATGCCCCAAGCAAAAATTCAAACCAGACCCTTATCAAAGCATGGAGTATAGCTGGCCAGGAAAGAAGGGGCATATTGATGAGTAGACATAGAAGAACCGTTCGACTCAAACATTGCTAGTTCTTGTGTTCGGCGAAGAACAAGAAATACCAGGTCCCACAATGCATTGTGTACCGCACAGTGCATTGTCAGAGCCCTGATTGGCTAAAGCAATGCACCTGACCACACCTGCCAGGTTGGCTCTAGTGACGAGGGCATATTATTTGATTTTTTTTTACAGCAGGGCCCATTCCTGCGCTCATCAAGAGTAACTGTGAAGGGTTACAGTGTGGAGGCACCAACACCAAAGGCCATTTTTTCCACACCTGTGTGCGAGGTATATATAATTAAATTTTTTAGAGCAGGGTCCAATTTTGTACTCGTCAAGAATAACGCTGAAGGGTTACGGTGTGAAGGCACCACCAACACTATGGCTGGGTTCACACCTAGGCGTATTAAATATGCACGTTTGTCGCGCGTTTTTACCGCGATTCGCGGTAAAAAAAACGCGCGACAAACGCCCGTTTCCGAGGGCTACTTGGCTGTATCCCAATGGAAACGCAAGACCAAAACACCCCAAAGAAGTACATGTACTTCTTTGGGTGTAGGCCCTTTTGTATCGCGTTCCGACGGGAGGAAATACGGCAAGGTGTGAACCAGACCCATTGAATACAATGGGATTTAGATGTTTGAGCGTTTTGTAGAGCGTTCGTCGAGCGCTGAACGCGCTACAAAACGTTCAGATGTGAACCAGGCCAAAGGCTGGGTTCACACCTAGGCGTATCGAATATGCGCGTTTGACGCGCGATTCGCGGTAAAAAAACGTGCGACAAACACGCGTTTCCGAGGGCTACCTGGCTGTATCCCAATGGATACACGCGACAAAAATGCCCCAAAGAAGCTCCTGTACTTCTTTGGGCGTAGGGCGTTTTGTAGCGCGTTCATACGGCCTGTAATACGCCCAGGCGTGAACCATACCCATAGGAAATAATGGCATTTCGGTGTTTGAGCGTTTTGCAGAGC